TGGACGATGGACACAAACACTAAAGTGATTGAAGATAAGAAGGAAAGACACTACAATTAGTTGACACTTAATAAAGAAAGAAAGAGTGCGAAATTAGAAATTTCAAGTTAGGGTAGAATTGTAAAAGAATAGATGTATTATTTAATACAATATAGAAATAATAAATTAAAAATTAAAAATGAATAGATAGGTCAAATGAATTAGCCCATTGATCTACTAGTTTAACTCATTCTAAATCAACATGTCACAAATTATCAGGGCTCAAACTTTTGTAGAATGCTATAGACCATTACCAATGATAGAGAGATCCTTTCTTCACTAGTTTGTTCTAGAAAGAGTTTTTCAAGTTGCATAAGGTTTCTTTGCATATGTCTTCTACATACTATTGGTAGTTAGATAGGCAAATTGAGTTGATTAATAGGTGTTGAAAAACAATTTTAATGTGCATGTGCAATTCATTTTGACACCCTATATCTCATGTCGAGCCGGAAGTGTAAGTGTGATTGGTATATACATATAGAGACCAACCACTATTAATAACTTGAGCTTAAGCTTCTGAAGGCTTGTGGACCTTGACTCAAAGAGTTAGTAGGCTAGTGGTGGGTTTTGGTCTAGATTATTTCAATTTAGAACCCAAGGAATAGGTTTCTTAGCTTCCTCTAGCTTAATGATGGTACAATACAAACTTTTATACTTCATTTATGTTTACTTTATATAAGGTTCTATTTGGGCAGAAACTACCTCTTCACATTTCCTGTGTGTGGGGTGACTCAAACAAGGAAGCTATGGATAGAACTTTTTTAATGGCTATGAAAAAGGTAATTTAGTATATTTAGCAACATTTTTCCAAAGCAAAACAAAGAGTGAAGCAAAAAATAAACACGTATAACATAAAAAAGCAATTGGATATTGAGGATTACGCTTATCTAAACCTACAACCATTTAAGTAGGCATCCTTGGTCCAAGAAATGACTCACAAATTGAAGCTACTTGCTAATGTTAAGATTCATGATGTTTTTCATGTCTTTGTTGAAGAAAAGGCAAGAAAGAGACAACTGTCTCTAAACTACATGAAATGCTATTTCGTAAGAAACACCTATTGTAGCATGCCACATACTTTAGTGAATAAACTAGAAATTAGAGCCCTTTATTTATAGTTTTAGTGAATAGACTAGAAATTAGAGTCTTTTATTTTATAGTATTGGGGAGTAAATTGATTAGATTTAGAGTTTGGGAGTTGTAAGTGAAATTTAGAAGAAGTTGAAGGACGTTTAACTCAATTATCCCAATTTTTTGGCCAGATGGCACTATATTTACCAAGTAAAACAATTTTCTTGGACTTAAAACAAAAGCCTTCAAAACCAACCATTCCTCTACATCTTTCTTTCCAACCAGTCCCATACACCCTTCTTTCTTTTTCAAGCTACGTGTGATTTGTGAGGACGCACTCCCCAGTTGAAATTCCTTTTGATTTCTACAATTTGCCTCAACTTGGTGCTTTGATTTACATAGGTAAGTATGAGTTTTAGCTATAGATTTGGGTTAAAGTTTCAAGTAGATTATAGATTTACCATAATGCACTAAAAATTAGTTTAAATTAATGAAATTTTACCCTAAATCCTAAGCTTGAGAGACTTTTTAGGCATTAAAATTTTGTTAGAAATATATGATATTTTTGGGGCTTATACAGGATAGAATCCATAATGAGTTTTGTTTTTCATACTTGAATTTAGTGTAAATTTTATTGTTAAATATTGTTGTTGTTGCTTTGTATCCCTTACATATTTTATGTGAAGATCCTTTGGGTATTTTCTTGATTAAATAAGAACCTATATAGTTAATTAGACTTTGCTTTGACTGTGCATGAATATGGAAGGGAATTAGTTTTCTCAATTAACTGTTCATGCACTAAGCTTTAATTATTTTGAGTAGGAAATCTTGTGGAATATGTGAGTTATGCATGTGGATACTAATGTGAATCTTTTTAGAATGCCACTGACTAAATAAGATATTAAATGAAACAATATTCTTATATTATTTTGAATATGTTTTGAATTTGTTTGACATATGTATCTATTTGTGGCTATGGAATAAGTGGGCCTAAGCTTAAAGCTTTGGGTATTCGGTGGACCCTTCAAGATATTTAGTAGACCTCTACACAGTAGAATGAATGTTATAATTAGCTTCAGTACAAGTGTTGTTAGCACACATTAGTAGACTCCATAGCATTCTATGACTTTTGTTTTATGCATTTTGATTGTGATATCATGTTTGTGAGCATATGGTTTTATAATATGAATTTGATTTAGATGTCATTGGTTATTCCTTGACATGTTTGATTGTTTGTGAACTAATTTTTGATATTAAATTATTATTTAAATACTAAGATTTATAAGATTAAGTGGCTTGGTTTAATTGTTTATTATGCTTTTCATGTGTGTAGGTCTAAGGTTCTTATGACCCAAGTTTGTGACTTTAACTTAATATTTACTAGGCTTTTAGCTCATAATATTTCCCTTCCCATTTCAGATCAGTAGATTAGAGTAGCAGTCACCGACTTGAGAGCTTTCGGTATAGGTCCCATATGCTCATTGCACGTAGAAACTAGGACCTCAGTGCCTTTGATGTGAAGGTAGATCAATGTGTTATCAAAATGATGATTCTGCTTTTATTATTTGGGAAGTTTTTGAAAAGTATTTGCTCTCATCTTTTTTTCTTTTTTTTTTTGTAAATTGCTTTTATGTATATAATATTTAAATTAATTAAAATTGGCTTCAACTAGCTTATTTTACAACTTTGAATATTTTGATATTTTTCTTAAGATATTTTTCGTTAAATTAGTTTTCCTTTCCAAGTAATTGATTTTCTTTCTATAAAGTTTTAAATGGATTTGAAAGCAAGTTTTTCTTTTAAGGAAACATTTTATACTCGAAAAGTTTTTACTTCCGCCGCAATCTTTTCTATAAGTCTTATTTCAGGACTCCCTAAGGACTAAGGGTACCTAAGGGAGGTGTGTTACATGTTTTGGTATCAGAGCCAAAGTTTTGCTAATACATTGATTTGTCATGTGGGTTAAAGTCTTGTGTCATAGGATTAGATTTTTCCTAACTATTAGTTTTTGTACTCTTTGCTTGCATTAAGTACCAAAGGAGAAAGATGATTTAGGGAGGCAACACTTCTACCTCTACTATTATTGATGATGTGAATGCCAGAATGGATGTAATGCATAAGGCCATTACGAATATGAGCTCTGTTTTTAAGGAGTATCTTCTACACCAGAACAATAATAATGCCCAAAAAAATACTAGTAGTAATTCACAGCAAACAGTCGACTCAAGGGAAGGAAATGAATAGTTGACATTGGAGAAGCAATTTCATAATAAGAACTTGCCCAGCTTCAAGGGAGTTCTTGACCCCAATGCAGCTAAGTCTTGGGCTAAGAAACCAGAGATGTTCAAGCTCTTGAAGCATATTGATGAGCAAAAAGTGGAGTTAACAGTGTTCACACTAGAAGGTGAAGTTGATGACTCGGGGGACAGTTACACAAGATGGGTTCACTAAGAGAGGGGAAGAGATACATGGGACAAGTTTGTTTAAGCCTTTTACTAGAAATATTTTTCTGAAGCTGTTTTGGAAAGAAAGGAGTTAAAGTTCATGAATCTGAAGCAAAGTGACAAGACAATTAATATCAAGCTAAGTTCAACTCTCTTATAAAGTTTGCTAATGATGAAGCTAAGAAGGCAAGGAAGTTTTAGAAAGGGTTGAAGGTTTCCATTATGAACAAGGTGGTTCCTTAAAGGCTAAAGACTTATGATGAAGTATTTGCCATAGCTCAAATAATTGAACAAGAAATAGATGAGTAAAAGATGGAGACTTAAGACCAAAAGGGCAAGGGAAAGGCTGTTAACAACCAATCTTTCAACAAGAAGTCTAATCAAAGAGGAAAAGGGAAGATTCTTAATGACAACAAGTCAAGTTTTGATTCGTGCAAGAGGTGCGGTAAGTGTCATGAAGTAAGGAATGCTATTGGTAGACTGAAGCATGTTTCAAATGTGGGAAGACTGGCCATTTGATCAAGGATTGCTCAATTCTTAAGGGAGCGAATCAACATTCAAAGGAGCAAGATAACAAGAGGCTAAGGGTTCAAGGAAGAGTTTTTGTTATCATGGAACAACAAGCTCAAGAACACTCTTATAATGATAAAAGGTAAAATGCCTATCTCATTTGGGAATGCCTATGTGTTGATCGTCCCTAGATCTACCCACTCATTTATGTCACCTAAGTATTTGCCATTGTAACATGTGGAGCTTGAGACCCTCGATTGTGTGCTTGTGGTGAATACTCCTTTTAAGGAGGTTTTAACATCAAGAAACATATATAGATCCTGTAGAGTTATGATAGAGAGTAGAGTTTTGCTTGCCAATCTAATTTTGCTAGGTACAGTGGAATTTGATGCCATACTTGGTATGGACTAGTTGTCTACCCATTATACCATGGTTGATTGTTATAAAAAAAGGTGATTACCTTTTCTACTCCTAATCAGTCAGTGATTTGGTTTGAAAGAGAAAAAGTTGGATCATTTAGATTACTTGTTCCTTGCATGCAAGCTTATAAAATGTTGCTACATGAATGTTATGGATATCTAGCATCTTTTTTTGAGTTTAAAGACAAGCCAGCATCTGTGGAAGGAATTCAAGTAGTGGAAGACTTTTCTGATGTTTTCCCTAAGGAGTTACCTGGTTCACCTCCGAATAGGGAGATTAAAGTTAGTATAGACCTTGTGCTTGGCACTTCACCAATATCTTAGCAACCTTCTAGAATAGCTCCAGTAGAATTAATTAAGTTGAAAAAGCAATTATAATAGCTTTTCGATAAAGGGTTTATCAGACTGTCACGCCCCAAACCCCTGAGCGAGACAGACGCCGTGCACTCGTGAGTGGGGCCCACAAATGCACAAGGCTCAAAACCTACTGAGTTCTTACTTAGCAATTCAGACAATTCAGATCTAAACCTTTTTACTTACCAAATACTTACCAGTCAAGATGTGCAATATTTATAACTTCATATATACAATCATGACTAAAACTAAGTTTTGCACACAAAACTTCTGAGTCAAGAATGGGTGACTAACGGCTTAGCTACAAAATCTAAGTCCAAAAGTGCCTAGCCATCTAGCTCGTCACTCCCCCTGGCTCCCCATGCGTCAGGTCTCACTACCTGAAATGGTGGACAAGGAAAAATTATGAGATAAAATATCTCAATAAGTAAACATATGGATGACCCGTGGGTAAAATTTGAGCATTTCAAATAAACAATTTAAACATAAACGGAATGTTCAATGATAAGCCATTATGCAGAAATAAGTTCAGTAGTAGTCA